TGGACGCTCACAGCCTCTCGCAGCCGCTGGACGCTCACAGCCTCTCACAGCCGCTGGACGCTCACAGCCGCTGGACGCTCACAGCCTCTCGCAGCCGCTGGACGCTCACAGCCTCTCGCAGCCGCTGGACGCTCACAGCCTCTAGCAGCCGCTGGACGCTCACAGCCTCTAGCAGCCGCTGGACGCTCACAGCCTCTCACAGCCGCTGGACGCTCACAGCCTCTCGCAGCCGCTGGACGCTCACAGCCTCTCGCAGCCGCTGGACGCTCACAGCCTCTCGCAGCCGCTGGACGCTCACAGCCTCTCGCAGCCGCTGGACGCGGAAGCTGCTCATTACAAAGCGGCCGCAGATGCCCCGGAACACGGCGGCCGCTGAGGCGGCGGAATCCCGTTCGAGTACATACAGCAGGTGCCCCGCGGATACGCGCGCCCCGCTCGAACAATTCTCAACGGATTTACACTTCTCATAAACATGTGTTTTGTATGAGGCAGACAGACCGGCCCAAATATGGGCATCGGCCCTTTGGGCATTGCCCGGTACGCCCGATGGCCAGTCCAGCCCTGTGCATGTTCGGTGGCATCCTTGAGCTTGGACTACAAATGAAGTGGTGCACAGTAGAGGAGGGCTGGGCCGAAGTGTTTTGTTAGACGCCCATGCCCTTATATGGCAGTCTCGCTGCAAATACTGTGACGTAATAATTCTAAACACGTAATAGAGAATGGCAAAATCAGAACGGGTTGAAAAATCTTACCTAAACAGAATATGAAGTGTTCTCTGCAACCCATGAAGAGACTGATTTCCACTTTTTTGCACTTCTAGAGGCTACAACTTCACAACATAAGGCATTTAAGGCACAAAAAGTGGATTTTTCATGATATGTCCCCTTTAATGTCAACCATAATACCATTGACTATTTTATTTTATTTATTTATGAGCATCCCACAGAACTGAGGGGAAACCTGCCCATTATCATTTTGTTCCACATATTCCACCATTTCCTTTTCACTTTCTTCTTTCATTGGACCATTTAACAAAGCCACATTTAAAGAACAACTTTGAAATAAACTGGACAATATCACACCCTTCTATTTTATACCTGTCCTTGGAGGAGGTTACAAAGTAATGGATCCTCGAATAGACTGAGTGACAGCACTGCTCAGCTGAGCTGCTCCAGAGGAGTCCAACTGTGGGTTAAGTCTCTGGTTCAGATCACCACCTCCAATTAACATGCCACATCCCTCTGTTGTTACCAGGTCAATCAGATGTTTAAAGAACACCCAGTCTGTCCCTGGGGGGCATATACATTCAATAAGGAAACCCCTCCAGTCTGCCGTTCACCAATATATACCTTCTTTGTCTTTATGTATTTTCAACCTTTCAAAACAAACCTTACTTGAAATCAACACTGATATTCTCCTCCTACGGCCTGATTTATACAACCAGGAACATTCTGGATTAGTAGTAATCTTTATTTATATACCGCGTTTTCACTGCAGAGCTGAGTCTCAAAGCAGTTTACAATTGTTAATTTTTGGGCACTTGTCTCTCACTCCACATGCCAGAACTATTATACATGTTTTTAGTGGTAGGAGAAACCGGAGTACCCGGAGGAAACCTACGCAGACACGGGGAGAACATGCAAACTCCACTCAGAAAGGCCCTGTTACAACCGGGATTCGAACCCAGGACCTTCTTGCTGAAAGGCGAGAATGCTATCCACTCAGCCACCGTGCCGCCCATTATATCCAATCCTTTCACTTCTCATGTTCCTTGTCCGTTAGAGGGTCTCCTGCAGAAAAGCACCCCCACTGCCAAGCCCGCCAAGCTATTTAATGCGGCCCGCGACTCATTTTCAATATAAGTGTGATTTTTTGGCATTTTCTGCGCCGCTTTAATGACGCTTCCGCGACGCATCCGCACCGCGAGAGCGTCGCGAAGGGTCCGCCGTGTCCAGCACCTCTACCTGCGCGTGATATGATCCTTCATTTGTCACGAGCAGCCCTCGACAATGTCCGAGAGAGAGAGACCAGAGAGAGACCAGAGAGAGACCAGAGAGAGACCAGAGAGAGACCAGAGAGAGACCAGAGAGAGACCTGAGAGAGACCAGAGAGAGACCAGAGAGAGACCAGAGAGGGACCAGAGAGAGACCAGAGAGAGACCAGAGAGGGACCAGAGAGAGACCAGAGAGAGACCAGAGAGAGACCAGAGAGAGACCAGAGAGAGACCAGAGAGAGACCAGAGAGAGACCTGAGAGAGACCAGAGAGAGACCAGAGAGAGACCAGAGAGAGACCAGAGAGAGACCTGAGAGAGACTAGAAAGAGACCAAACAAAGACCCTTTAATGGTCTTTCTGGTCTCTCTCTGGTCTCTCTCATGTGTTATAAAATTCTCAACCCTCTCTTGCTAATCTCACAAATATGAAAAGTGCAAGTGCGCTCTCTAATGGATTTAACTATTAGTACAACAACGTGTTGGGTCTTTATTAAAACTGGGGAACCATTCTTTTTCATTAAGATCCATGTCACTGGTTCTCACACGGTCAGGACAAATATTAGTCAGCATTAAAATTCTTTATATTTATCACCTTTTTAGATGTATTTCTTATTATGGTGCAAGTGTGGGTGTGTGGGATCTAACACTAGTTTTCTAGTTCTTTCTCTCTGATCTTTTTTAGGTCTCTCTCTCTGGTCTCTCTCTGGTCTCTCTCTGGTCTCTCTCTGGTCTCTCTCTGGTCTCTCTCTGGTCTGTCTCTGGTCTCTCTCTGGTCTCTCTCTGGTCTCTCTCTGGTCTCTCTCTGGTCTCTCTCTGGTCTCTCTCTGGTCTCTCTCTGGTCTGTCTCTGGTCTCTTTCTGGTCTCTCTCTGGTCTCTCTCTGGTCTCTCTCTGGTCTCTCTCTGGTCTCTCTCTGGTCTCTCACTGGTCTCTCTCTGGTCTCTCTCTGGTCTCTCTCTGGTCTCTCTCTGGTCTCCCTCTGGTCTCTCTCTGGTCTCTCTCTGGTCTCCCTCTGGTCTCTCTCTGGTCTCTCTCTGGTCTCTCTCTATGGTCTCTCTCTGGTCTCTCTCTGGTCTCTCTCTGGTCTCTCTCTCTGGTCTCTCTCTGGTCTCTCTCTGGTCTCTCTCTCTGGTCTCTCTCTGGTCTCTCTCTGGTCTCTCTCTGGTCTCTCTCTGGCCTCTCTCTGGTCTCTCTCTGGTCTCTCTCTGGTCTCTCTCTGGCCTCTCTCTGGTCTCTCTCTGGTCTCTCTCTCTGGTCTCTCTCTGGTCTCTCTCTGGTCTCTCTCTGGTCTCTCTCTGGTCTCTCTCTGGTCTCTCTCTCTGGTCTCTCTCTCTGGTCTCTCTCTGGTCTCTCTCTGGTCTCTCTCTGGTCTCTCTCTCTCTGGTCTCTCTCTCTGGTCTCTCTCTGGTCTCTCTCTGGTCTCTCTCTCTCTGGTCTCTCTCTCTGGTCTCTCTCTGGTCTCTCTCTCTGGTCTCTCTCTGGTCTCTCTCTGGTCTCTCTCTGGTCTCTCTCTGGTCTCTCTCTGGTCTCTCTCTCTGGTCTCTCTCTGGTCTCTCTCTCTGGTCTCTCTCTGGTCTCTCTCTGGTCTCTCTCTGGTCTCTCTCTCTCTGGTCTCTCTCTGGTCTCTCTCTAGTCTCTCTCTGGTCTCTCTCTCTTTCTGGTCTCTCTCTGGTCTCTCTCTCTGGTCTCTCTCTGGTCTCTCTCTGGTCTCTCTCTCTGGTCTCTCTCTGGTCTCTCTCTCTGGTCTCTCTCTGGTCTCTCTCTGGTCTCTCTCTGGTCTCTCTCTGGTCTCTCTCTCTCTGGTCTCTCTCTGGTCTCTCTCTAGTCTCTCTCTGGTCTCTCTCTCTCTCTGGTCTCTCTCTGGTCTCTCTCTAGTCTCTCTCTGGTCTCTCTCTCTTTCTGGTCTCTCTCTGGTCTCTCTCTGGTCTCTCTCTAGTCTCTCTCTGGTCTCTCTCTCTTTCTGGTCTCTCTCTGGTCTCTCTCTGGTCTCTCTCTGGTCTCTCTCTGGTCTCTCTCTCTCTATCTCTCTGATTTATCTTTGGTCTCTCTCTCGTCTCTATCTTGTGTGTGTGTGTGTCTCTATGTCTGTGTGTGTGTGTGTGTCTCTGTCTCTGTGTGTGTGTGTGTGCGTGTCTCTATGTCTGTGTGTGTGTCTCTGTCTCTGTGTGTGTGTGTGTCTCTGTGTGTGTGCGTGTCTCTATGTCTGTGTGTGTCTCTGTCTCTGTGTGTGTGTGTCTGTGTGTGTCTCTGTGTGTGTGTGTCTCTGTGTGTCTCTGTGTGTGTGTGTGTGTCTCTGTGTGTCTGTGTGTGTGTGTGTCTCTGTGTGTCTATGTGTGTGTGTGTGTGTGTGTCTCTGTGTGTCTCTCTGTGTGTGAGTGTGTCTCTGTGTGTCTATGTGTGTGTGTGTGTGTGTGTGTGTGTCTCTGTGTGTCTCTGTGTGTGAGTGTGTCTCTCTGTGTGTGTGTGTCTCTGTGTGTGTCCGTGTCTCTATGTCTGTGTGTGTGTGTGTCTGTGTGTCTCTGTGTGTGTCTCTGTGTGTGTGTGTCTCTGTGTGTCTCTGTGTGTGTGTGTGTCTCTGTGTCTCTGTGTGTCTGTGTGTGTGTGTGTGTGTGTGTCTCTGTGTGTCTCTGTGTGTGTGTGTGTGTGTCTCTGTGTGTGTGTGTGTGTCTCTGTGTGTCTCTGTGTGTGTGTGTCTCTGTGTGTCTATGTGTGTGTGTGTGTGTGTGTGTCTCTGTGTGTGTGTGTGTCTCTGTGTGTCTCTGTGTGTGTGTGTGTGTGTCTCTGTGTGTCTATGTGTGTGTCTCTGTGTGTCTCTGTGTGTGTGTGTGTGTGTCTCTGTGTGTGTGTCTCTGTGTGTCTCTGTGTGTGTGTGTCTCTGTGTGTCTCTCTGTGTGTGACACTAGTTTTCACATGCAGTTGTTTTTGGCTGCAGTACCCGTGGATGTCCAGCAGAGGTCGCCACAGCAGCTCTCTCCCTGCTCGCCTCATCCTCCTGCGGCGTGTGCTCCATGCTCCACAGACTTCACCGGCTCCAGCCTCTCTACGCCCCGCTGTCCCGCTGTCTGCGACCCGGCCCGGCCCCACGCAGTCCCCGGTACCTCTCCTCCAGGATGTCCTTCCAGTACCCGCAGTGTTTCCGTGACGAGGCTGTGGTGAGTGGAGGCTACACACGGTTAGCTTCGATGCTAGCTGGCTCCCCGTTCATTACAGCGGCTGCTTTGTTAGCATGCTAGTTAGCTTAGCACTGTCAGACGCCGCTGTTGACGTTTGCAGCCACATCATTCAAAAGGTATTCGCGTTGTTGAAGCTAAATCAAAACTTCAAAGCTTAATACATCTGACAACAGACTTATTATGAGTTTTTCAGGTTTCTTGGAATCATTAGTTATTAAATTAAATCTTGTGATTATATGTTTGTTGACCTTTCTCTGCTCTCTCTCTGGTCCCTCTGGTCTCTCTCTTTCTGGTCTCTCTCTTTCTGGTCTCTCTCTCTGGTCTCTCTCTTTCTGGTCTCTCTCTCTGGTCTCTCTCTGGTCCCTCTCTGCTCTCTCTCTCTGGGGTCTCTCTGGTCCCTCTTTCTGGTCTCTCTCTTTCTGGTCTCTCTCTTTCTGGTCTCTCTCCCTGGTCTCTCCCTGGTCTCTCTCTCTGGTCCCTCTCTCTGGTCCCTCTCTCTGGTCTCTCTCTCTGCTCTCTCTCTCTGGTCTCTCTCTGGTCTCTCTCTGGTCTCTCTCTGGTCTCTCTCTGGTCTCTCTCTGGTCTTCTCTCTGGTCTCTCTCTCTGGTCTCTCTCTGGTCTCTCTCTCTGGTCTCTCTCTCTGGTCTCTCTCTGGTCTCTCTCTCTGGTCTCTCTCTGGTCTCTCTCTGGTCTCTCTCTGGTCTCTCTCTCTGGTCTCTCTCTCTGGTCTCTCTCTGGTCTTCTCTCTGGTCTCTCTCTGGTCTCTCTCTGGTCTCTCTCTCTGGTCTCTCTCTCTGGTCTCTCTCTAGTCTCTCTCTGGTCTCTCTCTCTGGTCTCTCTCTCTGGTCTCTCTCTGGTCCCTCTCTGGTCTCTCTCTGGTCTCTGGTCTCTCTCTGGTCTCTCTCTGGTCTCTCTCTGGTCTCTCTCTGGTCTCTCTCTCTGGTCTCTCTCTGGTCTCTCTCTGGTCTCTCTCTGGTCCCTCTCTGGTCCCTCTCTGGTCTCTCTCTGGTCTCTCTCTCTGGTCTCTCTCTCTGGTCTCTCTCTGGTCTCTCTCTCTCTGGTCTCTCTCTGGTCTCTCTCTGGTCTCTCTCTCTGGTCTCTCTCTCTGGTCTCTCTCTGGTTTCTCTGGTCTCTCTCTCTGGTCTCTCTCTGGTCTCTCTGGTCTCTCTTTCTGGTCTCTCTCTGGTCTCTCTCTCTGGTCTCTCTCTCTGGTCTCTCTCTGGTCTCTCTCTCTGGTCTCTCTCTCTGGTCTCTCTCTCTGGTCTCTCTCTGGTCTCTCTCTCTGGTCTCTCTCTGGTCTCTCTCTCTGGTCTCTCTCTCTGGTCTCTCTCTCTGGTCTCTCTCTGGTCCCTCTCTGGTCTCTCTCTGGTCTCTCTCTGGTCTCTCTCTCTGGTCTCTCTCTGGTCTCTCTCTGGTCTCTCTCTGGTCTCTCTCTGGTCTCTCTCTCTGGTCTCTCTCTCTGGTCTCTCTCTCTGGTCTCTCTCTGGTCCCTCTCTGGTCTCTCTCTGGTCTCTCTCTCTGGTCTCTCTCTGGTCTCTCTCTCTGGTCTCTCTCTGGTCTCTCTCTCTGGTCTCTCTCTCTGGTCTCTCTCTCTCTGGTCTCTCTCTCTGGTCCCTCTCTGGTCTCTCTCTGGTCTCTCTCTGGTCTCTCTCTCTGGTCTCTCTCTGGTCCCTCTCTGGTCTCTCTCTGGTCTCTCTCTGGTCTCTCTCTCTGGTCTCTCTCTGGTCTCTCTCTGGTCTCTCTCTGGTCTCTCTCTGGTCTCTCTCTCTGGTCTCTCTCTCTGGTCTCTCTCTCTGGTCTCTCTCTCTGGTCTCTCTCTCTGGTCTCTCTCTCTGGTCTCTCTCTCTGGTCTCTCTCTGGTCTCTCTCTGGTCTCTCTCTCTGGTCTCTCTCTGGTCTCTCTCTGGTCTCTCTCTCTGGTCCCTCTCTCTGGTCCCTCTCTCTGGTCCCTCTCTGCTCTCTCTCACTGGGGTCTCTCTGGTCCCTCTTTCTGGTCTCTCTCTTTCTGGTCTCTCTCTATGCTCTCTCTCTCTCTGGTCCCTCTCTCTGGTCCCTCTCTCTGGTCTCTCTCTCTGGTCTCTCTCTGGTCTCTCTCTGGTCTCTCTCTGGTCTCTCTCTGGTCTCTCTCTGGTCTCTCCCTGCTCTCTCTCTCTGGTCTCTCTCTGGTCTCTCTCCCTGCTCTCTCTCTCTGGTCTCTCTCTGCTCTCTCTCTCTCTGCTCTCTCTCTGGTCTCTCTCTCTGGTATCTCTCTCTGGTCTCTCTCTGGTCTCTCTCTCTGGTTTCTCTGGTCTCTCTCTGGTCTCTCTCTGGTCTCTCTTTCTGGTCTCTCTCTCTGGTCTCTCTCTGGTCTCTCTCTGGTCTCTCTCTGGTCTCTCTCTGGTCTCTCTCTGGTCTCTCTCTGGTCTCTCTCTCTGGTCTCTCTCTCTGGTCTCTCTCTCTGGTCTCTCTCTCTGGTCTCTCTCTCTGGTCTCTCTCTCTGGTCTCTCTCTCTGGTCTCTCTCTCTGGTCCCTCTCTCTGGTCCCTCTGCTCTCTCTCTCTGGGGTCTCTCTGGTCCCTCTTTCTGGTCTCTCTCTTTCTGGTCTCTCTCTATGCTCTCTCTCTCTCTGGTCCCTCTCTCTGGTCCCTATCTCTGGTCTCTCTCTCTGATCTATCTCTCTGGTCTCTCTCTCTGGTCTCTCTCTGGTCTCTCTCTGGTCTCTCTCTGGTCTCTCCCTGCTCTCTCTCTCTGGTCTCTCTCTGGTCTCTCTCCCTGCTCTCTCTCTCTGGTCTCTCTCTGCTCTCTCTCTCTCTGCTCTCTCTCTCTGGTCTCTCTCTCTGGTATCTCTCTCTGGTCTCTCTCTGGTCTCTCTCTCTGGTTTCTCTGGTCTCTCTCTGGTCTCTCTCTGGTCTCTCTTTCTGGTCTCTCTTTCTGGTCTCTCTCTCTGGTCCCTCTCTGGTCTCTCTCTGGTCTCTCTCTGGTCTCTCTCTGGTCTCTCTCTGGTCTCTCTCTCTGGTTTCTCTCTGGTCTCTCTCTGGTCTCTCTCTGGTCTCTCTCTGGTCTCTCTCTCTGGTCTCTCTCTGGTCTCTCTCTCTGGTCTCTCTCTGGTCTCTCTCTGGTCCCTCTCTGGCCTCTCTCTGGTCTCTCTCTCTGGTCTCTCTCTCTGGTCTCTCTCTGGTCCCTCTCTGGTCTCTCTCTGGTCTCTCTCTCTCTCTGTCTCTCTCTGGTCTCTCTCTGGTCTCTCTCTGGTCTCTCTCTGGTCTCTCTCTCTGGTCTCTCTCTGGTCTCTCTTGGTCTCTCTCTGGTCCCTCTCTGCTCTCTCTCTCTGGGGTCTCTCTGGTCCCTCTTTCTGGTCTCTCTCTTTCTGGTCTCTCTCTTTCTGGTCTCTCTCTATGCTCTCTCTCTCTCTGGTCCCTCTCCCTGGTCCCTCTCTCTGGTCTCTCTCTCTGGTCTCTCTCTGCTCTCTCTCTCTCTGCTCTCTCTCTCTGGTCTCTCTCTCTGGTATCTCTCTCTGGTCTCTCTCTGGTCTCTCTCTCTGGTTTCTCTGGTCTCTCTCTGGTCTCTCTTTCTGGTCTCTCTCTCTGGTCTCTCTCTGGTCTCTCTCTCTGGTCTCTCTCTGGTCTCTCCCTGCTCTCTCTCTCTGGTCTCTCTCTGGTCTCTCTCCCTGCTCTCTCTCTCTGGTCTCTCTCTGCTCTCTCTCTCTCTGCTCTCTCTCTCTGGTCTCTCTCTCTGGTATCTCTCTCTGGTCTCTCTCTGGTCTCTCTCTCTGGTTTCTCTGGTCTCTCTCTGGTCTCTCTCTGGTCTCTCTGGTCTCTCTTTCTGGTCTCTCTCTCTGGTCCCTCTCTGGTCTCTCTCTTGGTCTCTCTCTGGTCTCTCTCTCTGGTCTCTCTCTGGTCTCTCTCTGGTCTCTCTCTGGTCTCTCTCTGGTCTCTCTCTGGTCTCTCTCTCTGGTCTCTCTCTGGTCTCTCTCTCTGGTCTCTCTCTGGTCTCTCTCTGGTCCCTCTCTGGCCTCTCTCTGGTCTCTCTCTCTGGTCTCTCTCTCTGGTCTCTCTCTGGTCCCTCTCTGGTCTCTCTCTGGTCTCTCTCTCTCTGGTCTCTCTCTGGTCTCTCTCTGGTCTCTCTCTGGTCTCTCTCTCTGGTCTCTCTCTGGTCTCTCTCTGGTCTCTCTCTCTGGTCTCTCTCTGGTCTCTCTCTGGTCCCTCTCTGCTCTCTCTCTCTGGGGTCTCTCTGGTCCCTCTTTCTGGTCTCTCTCTTTCTGGTCTCTCTTCTTTCTGGTCTCTCTCTATGCTCTCTCTCTCTCTGGTCCCTCTCCCTGGTCTCTCTCTCTGATCTATCTCTCTGGTCTCTCTCTGGTCTCTCCCTGCTCTCTCTCTCTGGTCTCTCTCTGGTCTCTCTCCCTGCTCTCTCTCTCTGGTCTCTCTCTGCTCTCTCTCTCTCTGCTCTCTCTCTCTGGTCTCTCTCTCTGGTATCTCTCTCTGGTCTCTCTCTCTGGTTTCTCTGGTCTCTCTCTGGTCTCTCTCTGGTCTCTCTGGTCTCTCTTTCTGGTCTCTCTCTCTGGTCTCTCTCTGGTCTCTCTCTCTGGTCTCTCTCTGGTCTCTCTCATTTACTGTTTTGTGTTTTTAGGTGGACGATTACCATGGACACAGAATCCCAGATCCGTACAGTTGGCTGGAGGATCCTGACAGTGAGAAAACACAGGTCAAAGATGTTTTCAAACTAATGTCTAATAAATGTCAAACTCCTCTTTATGGACCGCGGTCTGAGGGTCGCTTATTTATCTGTATAGCACAGTTCATACAGATAACAGTGCATTCAAAAGAGAAAAGATAAATCCTTCAGTTGTTGCAGAAACTGTTTTTAATCTGGATTTGAACATTGTCAGAGAAGAGGTCTGTCTCACATTTTCAGGAAAACTGTTCCAGATTGTAGTCCTGACTCTGGGCACCAGTCCCTGTGCTCCTCAGAGTCCCGGCTGATGTACCTGTGCTTTGTGTGTGGAGCAGGCCTTCGTCGCGGCGCAGAACCAGCTGACCGTCCCGTTCCTGGAGCAGTGTGAGGTCCGCGAGCTTTTCAAAGAGAGGATGACCGAGCTGTACGACTATCCCAAATACAGCTGCCCCTTTAAGAGAGGCAGCCGGTGAGACACACACACAGACATATACACACACAGACAAACACATATAACACACACACATTAACACACACACACACACACACACACACACTGGGCGTTAAAACAATATTGATATTTATTGCGATAGATGTGTTTGATGTCGATAGAAGGTTCGATAGTTTAATTTAACTCTGTTTGAAAACACAGGAAGTAAAGCCAAGTCAGAAGCACGCTGCATTCTGGGGGATGTAGGCAGAAGCTTCTCGACCAATCACGGCTGAGTATGAACCGTTAGGCATTCTGGGAAATGCAAAAAAAAACCGAACCGCATCGTGCGTCCGTGGATCTGTAGGTAATGTTTCTGTTGGGATCTCCCAGTCACATGACCCATATGTGTCCGCCGACTCCGCAGCAATGGAGCTAAGCTAGCTAGTTCTAAAACTCTCTGGAACTACATGAAAACTGAACAAAGAATTCTGATCATCAGCGGTGAGTTACCCATTTATATACGAACCTAAATCCATCAGATCCTCTTCAGATGTTCCTAAATGTTCGTTTCATGTTAATGGTTACTTCAGGGTTTATCACGATCGCTTTTTGTTATATTAAAACAGTATTTTGGTCATGAAAACGTTAACAAATAATTCTGAAAACCTCCGTGCACTTGTTAGGGATGTATATGTAGACTGTATTCTCTGATTAACATTTATCGGTGTTGATTGATTATTTGTTTGAGCTCAGTTAGCTTCTCTGCACAGTGGTGACAGGCACTGAAGGCTTATTGTACTTGTATTTTGTCATGAAAACATGAACAAATAATTCTGAAAACCTCCGTGCACCCGGTATAAAGACATTCCTTTTGTCTGATCATGTGTCTGGTCACATCCAACTGCACAGCATCGCTCCGGCACGATAGGAACATCTCGCTACTACCTGTAGTATCACCGGCGGACTCGCATTTCTACACCGTCAAAATGGCTGCTCCAAATGGCGTGACGTCACGCAGGACGTCCCTACACCGAGTCAATGGTTCTGTCCGTGTGAGGAACCACATGTGCGGCTATCACAGGGCTTAAAGAGTTCCGTCGGGGTGACGGATTTCCGTCCAATGAAATTGATCTGAAAAAATAAATACAAAAATTATAATACACACAATGAAATGGTTAATTATAAAAAATATACATTAATGCATACACGTGTGTATCTGTTATATCCATATCTATATAATTTGAATATACTTGTATTTATATGTGCATATAGAAATAAAGAGTGATATAATCACGAGTGAGACTTGAATGTGCTGTGGCCACAGCTACTTTAGCGCTCGGCAAATGAATCAACACTGACCTCACGCACAAATGAAGACGCGGCCAAACTCGCAATGGAAAAACTGAGGTGAACGTTTCTGGAACTGCACGGAGCTTTTGAAAAGGAGAAGAGAAGGAAAATTGAATCCTGAACGCAGCAATAACATCCAGCAGCCCGCGGTACAAACTGGGCACGTTACCAGAGGAAAGGTTAGACTCTGCTGTGACGGGGAAACCATAGACTGTAAATGTCTTGGTTGCATTGCATGCAAAACTCAGCGTGATAATAAAGAGCCAATCAACGAGAGCCAACGGAAGAAACTTGCTGTAGTGTGTTAACACGTCTTTCATTTATCAAAGCTAGCCTAGCATGTGCGCACCATCACAATCACACATTCGTTGTTTATGGAAGAAGGAGCACAAGTTGCAACTGATAACGGAGTGAAAAATAAATGGAGCATGGCTGGATGAGGAGACGATGGGATCCTGCTGCGGTCATGGTGCAGAAAGATGAAGGTGGCCGGTGCTTGTGCGTACCATAGACTGTATTTGTGCGTACTTTGTTAATGGGAAAACAGTTTTGATTCTCCACCAGCTCGAAACTGCGCACGAGGCAGCTGTTTGTGCTCTGTCCCACACTTCTTTACCTGCTGCATCAGCGACAACTGAGACTAGGCTTGCTCTGGCGGACCGTGTCTGTGACATAAGAGTCTGTGGCTTTATCGCAGAAAACAACCTGTCGTTCAGAATATCACTACCGCTGGTAGATTTAATTAAATCATTTGCGGTTGATCAGAGTGCACTAAAAGGCACTATAGAAACCTTTTTCTTAAACATTGACGAGTCCACAAACAAACGTGGACAGAATTTTGAACGTCCTTTTGCGATATTTTGACGAGGACAGAGCAAGTGTTGACGCTCCGTCTCGTCTAAAGTTAAGGCAATGTTGCGGATGCAGCTACTCTCACTGATAAACTTGGCAAGTTGCTTGATCCACTTGTAATTTCACATCAAAATACACCAGTTTAAATGTTTATCTTTGAAGATTTCATTTAATCTGTAATTCATGATACAATAATACTGTATATTGTAATTAAAAATATAACTTGGTCTAGTGTTAGGATTTAGCAGACAGAGACGGATCGTGGTGTGCCAAACTCTGGAAGTTTATTTAAGTTTCTCTCAAGTTCCACTGTTTTACTCTGTTTCTTTCTCTCAGACAGAATAAAGGCAGTACACAGTTTATATAGTCATTGTCACGTCACACATCGAAAGACATACGTGTCACAAAGAGACAGTCACATCATAGTCATAACATGGAGTCCTTGTAGAGTCCTTGTAGAGTCCTGCACATAGGCCATATTGCTATCTAATACTAACACCCTCCCCTTTGATCACATAATCACATGTGATCACTCAATTTGATCAATCAATAAAGTGGAAAAAGAAGAAAAAAAAATTCCAAAAAAAAAACTTTAAAAAATTATTAAAAACAAAGAAAATGTATGCATTAAACTCATAATCATCAAATCAATATCAGTGGATTTTATCCTCCATCCTGGGAAAAAAACAAACAAACAAAAATAAAGTAAATAAACAAACAAAAAACAAAAACAAATTAAAAATAAAAAACAAACAAACTATTGGACACACAAGAACTCAGCAGATTCAGTCAAAACACAGACAAAAACGAGCTGAGTCTCAAATTTGAAGCTAATTTCACTTTTATTACTCTATACTTTTATTCTAATGCTAATTGTTTACACTTCACTTATTTCACTGTATTATTTTCACTTTTCAATCTTAGACTGTGTACTTTACTCTCTATTCACTATAGTTTAAAACTATTCTAATCTATTTACAAATATGTTTGCATATTTGCTTCTATTGAGCCATATTCTTAAACATACATTTTAATCTAATAAATCTCTCTTTAGTTTTACACTCTCATTATCAGTGGCATATTATCAGTGGGATTTTGCTCCATGTCTATTCTCATTTTCAGGAATAAAACTGTGAACACAGTAAGGCAAATGGTCAACATTTACACTTCTATAGTGGTCAATGATTTATTACTTTTTATTATCTAAAGATATTATTGTCAGGCAGTTTGGGATGAATGTACATCTTTAATCAAATTAGTATTATCCTAATAGTAGCTAATTAGGTTTGGGGTTGGGGTCAGTTATTCTACAATGCTGTTTGTGCTGGAAACTTCTCAATATCTAAATATCTACTTTTTGTTTTGGGCTATACCCAAATGCATCAAAAATGCTTTTAAATGCTTTTGAATCTCTGTTGGTTGTAATCTATCTCATTGATCTAGGCATTAATCTAGGCTACACTCATATGGACTTTTTGCATAGTCAACATTCACTCATGTTTGAACACAAGTGAATTTGGCAAGTATCTAATAAAACTGTAAGTAACTTTATCTACTTTTGAAGTAAATGCTTGTGAAATGGTCCCTTTACCATTTGATATTAGCACTGGCTACAAATAATCTCTATTTTTGAAAGCATCTATGGTTGATGCATTTATCTATCTCTATTTTTACACTATTGTGACTCTAAAGCTTGGTTGCAGCTTGAGTCAAGGCATATTTCTACTCTAACTCTTATGTGGAAATGTTTATGAACAACAAAGGAAGGACAATTCTACTTTTTTACTACTACTAAAAACGCTACAATACTTATACTTTATCATTTTCAAAGTTTTTGTCTGTCAGATGTCTGAATACTTAACATGTATATTGCATTTGTCACAGTTGTGGTTCTGGTTGTAGCAATAGCATCGGCAATAGACGTTTTCATTGGCTGGTTCTTGTTCTGCAAATGGCTGTGTCCAATAGATCATCAGATGTCCAGAAGCTAGGGACAAACAAAAACAAAAGAAAGAATCATGAGTATCTCTCTCATTTAGCACTCATCAATGGCATTATTTCAATAATATAAACATCACTCCCCAGTTTTTCCTCTCTCAGGTCCTCAGATCCTCAGGTCCTCAGGTCCCCTGAGGGTGAGTCTCAGTCGTCATCAGGTCAGGTCATACTCCGAGAGATGTCATCTTGGTCATCAGTAGGGTCCAAGCCATGGTTTGGTCTCTCCAGTTGGACATCGGATCTCCAGATACAGTCTTTTCAGTTGAAGCACATCAGGTCATTTGCGATGCACTTCTGGTCAATGGTGCAGTGTCTCAGTTCCTGTACACAGCTTGTTATGCAGTAGTTACTCTCTATGGTTAAATCACTTTGATTCTACTTTAAAGACAAATTCTATTCATGCTGTTGCTAATGTCTCTCAGACAAAAGCAAGCGCAGTTTACTTTTCTCTCATTTGTGTTTTTATCAGATCTAATCCTCATCAATGTAATTACTTCACACAGTACAAAATCAACAAATCAAAAGTGTCAGGACAGACGTCAATTAAGTCCATGACAATATAGAATTCAAATGAACATTTCTGGTCTCAAAAAATACTGATTCAAGTGATAGACAATTAAAAATATGTTTACATTGGAGTAAACTTTTAAAATGCTTTTTTCTCATGTTCTGCTTTTTCATGTATCTATATGTAAATGTGAATGTGTGAGGTTATGTGTGTGTATGTGTGTGTGTGTGTGTATGTGAATTTTGGGGTTGTGTCTCAAGACTCCACGAACCACCTGTAGGTGTCAAAGGTCACACTGTGGTGATGCAAACCAACTGGACACACTCTCAACT